TGCGTTTTGTTATCAGAGCTTTGCTTGAATCCACAACTCAATAATTTGAGATGCAGCCGATTGAAATGTTGTTATGACGTCTTGTTTTATTTGTATAATCTTAACTGTATGATTTTTTATTTCAGCGTTTAATCTGATCTAAATATAAAGATATTTTATATGATGGTGTCATTTAAGGAGCGTTTATTGATGCATTTTATTAACTGTGAATGATGTTACTATTTTTGGCTAATTTTTATGAACACAAAAATGCAGTTCTCCAGAACTGGTTAGGTAATGTAGTTCGTTTTTGAACGGCCCAGATGCTGCACTTGTTACAGCAAAGATTGTTCTGTGGAGGAATCCTTTCTTTCTGCAACTCAAAGATTAATTGCCATGTAGAAACAGGAGCGCATTTTTCTCAGGCGAAAGTTGTTTTAATTATACAAATGAATAATCATCACCTTTTTCCATGAACTTCCATTTATGGCAGTACTTAAACTGGAATGCGACAGTGTTGTCACACAGGAATTACTGTCCAGTGACATCTGACTGGTGTACTTAGGTAACTTCATTCGATTCGTAAGTTCTTTCGTCCGTCGGAACATTTTTGCACCAGAGTCTTTATAGTCAACTATGTAGGGAAAAATTAATTACACTTTTGACCAGTTGCATTTTTCTTCAGAATAGTCAATCAGCAGCTTGAGGTGAAGAGTGCCCTTTCTTTTCCGTTTCATTAAATTATTGGCAACCGTTCTTTTCCACTTGTTTTATGTACCTTTTGCAGGTGCCAAGCTCACCGCGGAAGAAATGGAAATAAAAAAGAAGAACGCTGAACGCGTTATTGTCCACAAAAATACCAGATTCAACGAAGATCCGTTCGCCAAGGACGCAACGCAGCCTCTACTGAACAAAAGCGCTGTGGCGTTGGCAGCTGCCGGTCAAGGCAAAGTCGACGTGCTCGGTAATGAGATCAAGTTCGGTAACGCAATGCAGAAGTTCAGCACCGTCGTGACGCCCTCACCTATGCCAGGTAAGAGAATAAATTATTGTTAGAAATACATCGCTGATGCGAGTCTTCTCTTAGGGTTAAATGAATCGCCGTTGATGACCTGGGGCGAAATTGAAGGAACTCCTTTCAGACTAGATGCTGGAGATACGCCGATTCCCCGCACGCCTGGTCCGTCGTTTAAAGTAACATAAAGTCTTGGGTTGACATTTTTATTTTTGCGTCCTCTTTCAGATTCCGGACATTCCTCTGCGTGATCAGTTAGCACAATCAATTACGGAGGAAGTATTGAGAAAAAACCGCGTACGCAAGCAGGCAAACAGAAACGCTGCTTCCAGTTTAACGTAATGCTGTGTTTTTACTTCAGTGGCGTAATATTCTATTGTTTGTTACTTAAGACCAAAATTCTCCTCAGTTAGATCAATGGAAAGACTTTCGACTATGTCGCCTGCCGCCAAGAGGCTAGCATCTACAAAATTGGGAGTTCGAGTGGCGACTGATAAACGCCATAATCTGGGATACACGCCTTCACCGTCAAGGTATTTTGCAGTAATGAAAAAATTCACATTATACGTTTTGCTTTAGGACTCCAAAGCATACACCTCTGATCAGTACTGAGAAACTGACGTCAAAAACCCCGGCAGCAAAAATTTGCGGATCTACAGCAGAAGATTCTTCAGAGAAACAGCAACAGTACTCATTGACTGACAATCTGTTGAACTTGCGTAAACAGCCGACAGCGTCAGACTTCTTCTAAGCTCGATTCATGTTTGAGTGACTCTCTCTGCCTCCGGTGGCTGTTGTGCGTCTTTCAGGTTGAATTCGCAACATACGCAGTTCAAATAATCTATCTAAAACGAAAACAGTATGCAGCAAATCACTGGTACTTGTGAATTTATTACATCAAAAATGTTGTCTATTTCTAAATCTTCTTTCTGTTATTATTCACCTCAGTGAACATTCAAAGTGATTCATTTAATTTAAAACAGTTTTTTATTCTGTAAATATTTACGTCGCTGGTTCGCTTTCCTAAACTGTTGTTTTGTTTTCACTTGATTTATGAACCTGAAATGTCATTAAAAGAGGAAGTCTAATTGCGCTAACGGTTAGTTGCAAAAATATGTCTTCTTTCATGTAGTACAAATAACTTTAAATATCTTTCACACTGTTAAAATAACCAGATTCAAATTATGATGGATAACGAAAATGAGGTTTGAAATTTTAAAGCACAGATGCTTTTGTAGTCAGCGTGCGTCATCATGATTTGT